AGTAGGATTACGTCATTCAAAATTGGATGGCTCTAGATACCATTGTTTTATCACAATGTGAGAAATATATATATATTTATGCAGATTTTTCATTATTTAATTTCTTCAAATATAATGCAGTACTCTAACATTTTGTGGCAACAGTTCGAAATGTGAACCGGCATTTCAAATGGAACACAACCTGATTAGAAAGTGAGGAGGATGTTGCGGAATTTAATAAGAAAGAACTGATTTTGGTTTTCCTTGACACTGATCTTGGCTGAGATATGTTTCAATGTGAAATTTACTATTACTATAATTTTCTTTATTATTTCATATAAATATTACCGTCTACAAAGATGTTTTGTAGGTCTATGTCCCCCCCCCCCACCGCCAGCTGTAAGGTTTTTTTTTTTTTTTTTTTTTTTTTTTTTTTTTTTTTGAGGGGGATATTTTTCATTTGCCATGATATATGGTTGCTTGTTGTAATTCTTCCTGAAAATAACTAGTTTTATTTTACATGATGATGTATTACTTGAAACAGCGGTAAACATTTAACATCTATTGGATGCTGCAAACTTTCAAGGACATTAATTTTGAACTGCTTTAGACTTGCGTTTAATGGAGACGGAGCTTTGTAGTAAAATGATGCGGTTCCGTATTGTAATACATTCTGTAAAATCAATTTCACTCTAAACCTTATAGGGTATTTTCTCCCTCCTTTCTGCACACCTTCGTGGTGTAACTGTAGCACACTCGGCGCGTATTCGAGAGGTCCAGGTTCGAGGTCATTGCTCATATTTCATGTCTCTTGCTTCGAAATAACCTAATGTCTCTATAAGTAAGTTAACTTTAGGGAGTGGAAAGTGTTGAGAACTGAGAAAGGTATGTTAAGATGGTTGGGATGCATAGAGAGGATGAACGAAAGAAGATATAAGAAAACTGTGGATGGAAGAGGGTCAACATCAGCGAATGTACGTTGAATCAGATTGAAGATGTTCTTAGTAACAGCCAGCGTAAGAATACCCTAATTAAGTGAATAACAATACAAACCGACCCTCTTTCCAAACCGAACTACCTATATAATTTCAGTTAAAAAAAAAAAAAAAAAAAAAAAAAAAATGAGGTTCTCGAAAGAGATTTCATTCGTTGAACTATTGATAATTTGCTCTGTTGATTAACGAGTTGCACTGATATAGGTGATGTTAGAAATAATTAAAGTGTAGTTATTAATAGACCAACACATTGTTTCAAAGCTAATGTTCTCCTTGATCAGTAAAAATAATTTAGCAATTAAAAGAAATGATCATTGGATTACATGTAATGTCAGGATAATAAGAGTAGAGTATGCGGGACAGCATTGTAATCTATGCAGCCTTTTCTCCGTGAATGCAAGTAACAGTGTTATATCGCTATTTGTATTAAACATTGAACACATTTATAATTTCGAAAGCTTTCAATTGCTAACATATTTTACTAGATTTTTCTTGAAGTTAAAAATTATTGGCTTATTTTGAGAGTAGAATGTTCCTTCATTATCTAATGTAGAAATAATGGCTAATTAAAAGTAGCCACTATTGTTAGGTTTGGATGAATGGGATCCTGTTTATATCACTGAATGTAAACACAAATTTTGGTATTGAAAATTAGAATTTTGTCCTTTGATATCCATAGCCTTTTTATTCGAAAACAAGCTTCAGTGTAGCATTTAATTTTGCTTAATTTTAAGATGATAGATAAGTGTTCAAACATTACAGTATACAATACAAGACCTTAACATGGATGAATAACTGATGCAGACAAGTTACTACTGTTACCTATCATCAGTTGTAAAGATCTCAGTAAATAAGCCAAATAAAGGGGGAAAATCTAGAACCTTTATTGCAGCTTACAGCAATCACGAATTTTGCAATGAAGATGATCCTCTAAAAATAGCTCGAGAACTTAGGAATTAGCGCTGAATTTCTCCTTAGCATAACAATAAACATGGGTGATATACTTTTGGTGCAGCCGACTGCAACCAAAAAGGGAGGTGCATAACTGTGTGTTATAACAGCCCCATATACAAAATTTCAACGTTCTGAGGCTGTTCGTTTTTGAGTTAAGCGAGATAGGTGCAGACGTAGCGAAAAAAAAAACTCTTCTGAATCCATTTTTCAATCTGTTTTGGGAAAAAGAGACTTTATTCTGTCCGTACATGTAGATGTCACGCGAAAACATCGTTTAAATGGATTCGAGAAGGATCAAAATGGATATTTTGTTGAAATATGATACCCGAAATTTCTGGCGATTACAAATCTTCCTTTACTTTGTAGAAGGAAATAAAATTGGACTACAAACTTTAAGTGTAAGGTGCTTCGAAAACAACTATTTTCAATGAAGACATTCGGTATTTTTAGTCCAAAGTGGCTTTGTGTCCCTGGAGGACTATTGTTTTCGTTTTGCGTTGAATCACTATAAACGTCCGTTTCACTTTTCAAACTGTTGCCACCAAATGTTAGAGTCCTGCATTATGTTTGAAGAAATTAAGTAATGAAACATCGGCATAAATGTATGTATATTTCTCGCATTGTGACAAAACAACGGTACATAAAGCCATCGAATTTTGAATGACGTCATCCTCCTACAAATGCGGGCATGTGGAAGATCAAATTTGAAATTTTGGAATTTGTTTTATAATCGATTTCATATTTTGGAAAACTTTAACGAATTTTTGAGTAACAAACTCAACGATTTAAAAGCGACCAATGGCAACGCTCTACGGGAAAGAAACAACCTTTTCATCTCCAGCGCGCGAAACTGTGTATCGGAAATCCTAAAGATACGCTCATTTTAAAATTATTTTGCGACATTGCTATTGAACTGAATTTTGTGGTTTAAGTGCAAAGAACGTGATATTTAATAAATAAAGGTAAAGCACAAAACGTTAAAAAAAGTCCCTTTGGACATGACATAATTTAAAATCTGAAACCTTTTTTTTTTTTTTTTTAATTTATCTATTTTGGAAGCAGGAGATGTGAAAAATGAGCAACGCCCTCGCCGGGAATCGAACCACAGACCTCTGCAATACGCACTCAGCGTGCAGACGACCACACTAAAGGCGAGAGAAATACCTTATATCAATTATGAGTAAATGGCCGTTACATGCAGTCCTGTAGCCACAGTCTTCATCAGAGTCGTCTTAGCGTATAGACATTGCTAGGAGGTTCTGCGAGTATTTTGTCAAATTTATTGTTCTTATTGAGAGAGTCCGTATAAATAAGGACCGCAAACTCTATTAAAACCCGGAGGTCCATGATTCTGTTAAGACGTCCTTGTCATCATGGTCGCATAAACTGGAATTTCTTTGGTATGGAATGTTGATCTGTGCAAAACATATTATTGCTGCGGTAGATTTTTCATGCCGATATATTGGACTGCAGAGAATCAGAGTCGCAAGTAATGTTATAAGCATAACTTTAATTAAAAGATTAAACTGCAAGGCATTGCCTCTAAAAAAGGTAAAAGAAAAGTCGACGGAAAAGGACGTGTTTTTCGAGATAAATCAGAAATTATGTGCTTTTCGAATAAAATTTCATTATTTCCTTGTATTAAGATTATATCAGTTCCAAAAGAATGATTGCCTCTGAGTAAAATCCAAACCCTCTTTAAGACATATTTCCATTTTCAGCCTAAAAGGCGTTACTCCAGAAAAGCTATTAATTTCGTTATGGCATTTTGTTTCAAATCACTATAAACGACGTATCACTTTTCAAAATTTTGCCACCAAATATTATCGTCCTGTATTATATTTAAAGAAATTAAATAATGAAGAATCTGCATAAATCTCGCGTTGTGATAAAACAACGGTACCTAGAGTAATCAAATTTTGAATAACGTAATCCTCCACCCGAATAGGAGCATCTGGAAGCCCAAATTCGGAATTTTGAATATTTTTATTAGCTATTTCATATTTTCTAAAACTCTAACGAACTCAGCGATTTCAAAGCGAGCAATGAAACACTGTACAGGAAATAAAAAATAATAATAAAAAAATATATATAAAATAAAATTAAAAAATCAGAAACGTTTCAGACTTTAAATTTCGTCCAAGTGGGCGTTTTTTTAACGTTTTGTGTGCTACCTTCATTTATTAAGTATCATGTTCTTCGCACTCTTAAACCATAAAATTCAGTTCCAACAGCAATATCACAAAATAATTTTTAAAATGACATACGTCCTTAGAATTTCCGATACACAGTCTCGAGCGCTGGAGATTAATTTTTTTTTTTTTTTTTTTTTTTTTTTTTCAATACCCCTGTTGCCCATTGCTCGCTTTGAAATCGCTTGAGTCTAGTTAATCAAAAATTCGTTTAAAGTTTTACAAAATTATGAAATAGATAATAAAACAAATTCTAAATTTCAAATTGGGATTCCAAATGGCCATATTCGAGTAGGAGGTCTATGTTATTTAAAATTTGATGGCTCTAGGTTCCGTTATTTTATTCGACAATGTCAGAAATATACATACATTTATGCAGATTCTTCATTATTTAATTTCTTTAAATATTATTATACAGAGCGATAAGATTTGGTGGCAACAATTTGAAAAGTGAAAAAATGCTTGTAGTGAATCAACGCAAAATGCCAAAACGAAATTAATAGCCCTTCTCGGCAAATTACCCCTTTGGACTTAGCGCGCGATACTGTGTATCGAAAATTCTAAAGACATGCTCTTTTAAAATTATTTTGTGATATTGCTGTTGAGTTAAATTTTATAATTTAAGTGTGAAGAACATAATATTTAATAAATAAAGATAACACACAAAACGTTAAGAAACAAAAAGTCCATTTGGGCGTAATGTTAAAATCTAAAAACTTTCAGTTTTAATTGTTATCTATTGGTACTTTATTTCTTTTCGACGTACCTTGTGTAAATGATAGTTAGTTAGTTACCTTTAGTTAATCGCAATAAAGTCTCCTAAGACATGGTGGCACGTAAATGTCTCTATGCAAAGGGGAATAAAAAAGAAAACCGAAGATTTCCTTAAAACTTTTATTGTATCTTTTTTTCAATAAAATGAAATAAATAAATACTGTAACATAAATACGCTATGAACCACAAATAAATATAGATGAGAACATATGGCAAACTCTAAAAACAGACATACACATGAAAGTTGGAAAAAAAAAAATGACTTAGGATAATGTAACAAGAAATCCTCTGTGAAGTGTAAAACAAGAACTGGCTCAAAACTGCAAATAAGGTGAGTTATTATAGAAACATTTAAGAATATATTTGCCAATTTTCACTGTCATTAACAAAAGGTTTTTCAAGTAAAGTAGCCCATATACAGTTACATAAATATATATAGCTTAAAGAATTTATTTTTGAATCCACGGTTTTATAAATTTAAAGTTAATAAACTTTTTAATTAAAATGGTCAGAATTTTATTAACACATTAATAGCTCTTCATTATTCGTCCAGCATTGAATGAAATAATAAAGAATTTTCAGCTCTAATTTGTGATAAATAAATGTTAAATTAAAATATATGTGAGAAACTACAACTTTTGTAACATTTACTGGAAAGACTGGGAAAAAAAATTGATCTAATTTTTTTTTTTTTTTTTTTTTTTTTTTTTTAATGAATGTTAAGTTTTTCTATCCCGATAATAGCCAAGGAACTATATAAGCTAATATTTACTCTAGGTGAAAGGTTCTCAACAGATGGTACGCAAGAGAAAAATAGGTGGAACGCAAAGAAGCAAAGTATTTTTAACTATTAAATTCAAAAATTAAAATCCCGACATCCTGATTGAGTTTTTTCTCTAACACTCGTAAATTTATGCGATCTGAGCTTTTCTGCAAGAGTGGTGGTGGTAGTAAATGTTTTCAGTTTTTGTTTAGATGGTACGCGTTAGTCAAAAAGAGAACCGCTTGCCTAGGTGATAATTTGGTGGCTGGCTGCATAGCACTTTTTCCATGTGTAAGGACAATTTACTTTGAAAAGGCTTCCACAAAGGTGTTCCTTCCCGTAGGTAGAGATCCAGAGAGCATTTTACCATAGTTAAAATAAAATTTCACTGTAATTTTTGACTTTACAAAAATCTGATTTCAGTGTAAATAAGAATAAAATCGTAAAGTTTTTTTCAAATCTACTTCAATCAAATTCATTAAAAACTTATACAAATTATCTAAAAACAAATACTAAAGACAAAATTGGATTTAGACTGGAGAATAAAGTTTAAATATTCTATTAGCAATGATTTCATTGAAGAAATATTCATTGCAGTATCATAAAAATTAATGAGATTTTCCACATTTTGCAACTATTTCGTGTATTTTTTTTTTTTTTCTTAGAACTTTAAAAACAGAGGTAAAATTCTAGCGGATACAAAATCGCAGAGCATCCCTAATACTAGTATCTCTAATTACACCATGCACTTTTTAACCCATTAATTGCTAATTTTTCCCTAGCAGTTTGCAGTCTGTTTTTCTAGATTTTCTAATTAACACAGTTCATCGTTGCACAATCTGCTGTACTAATTAAAGCATACATCAGCACTTAAAGATTGCAGCTGCAGTAGTACAGATTTGAAAGAAAAGAAAGTTGAATGTAAAAAAACTTAAAATCTATGAATGTGTGTAGATAGAATTTCTTCTAAGCCCCAAATGGGAATCAAATTTCAGATAATCTTCATTTGGAAAGCAAATTTAACCAATCTTAAAGCTGTTAAATTTCCTTTGAAGATATTGGGAAACAAAATAGTAGTAAGATGAAATTAGATATTACATGAAAAGACTGAAACGCTGGAATCTCGAAAACTCTACATTCTGCAACTGGCAGCGCTATTTATTGCCAACTTAAAATGCAGTATCAGCTTTCTCATGGCAGGAAGGGAGGGGACGTCCCTAATAGGGATTATGGCAGTTAACGAGCCCATTTGTAACAAACTCGTGATTTTTTTAATACCTAAAAGACCATTACAGAAAATATGTTAAATACGATTTCCCATCCTATGAAGATCACAATATGGTAGTTCAATAAACTGTTTAATATATGACATAATTTTGAAAATAAGTCGTCTCAAAAATCCCTTGGAAACAACTGTGAAGTTTCCTCTTGAATTAATTAATATTTTTACAAAAAAATCCTGAGCAAAGAGAAAAGCAAATTTCTTTCTTTCTCTTTATCATCGCTACATTAACTTTCTTGAAATAATATTATGCAATTATTCTCATACAACGTTTTTTGCCAACTATACTAACAATGACTTTTATCTATGAATTCAAGATGAGAATAAATGCGTAGACTCATTTCTGAAGTAAAACACAGTTATGAAATGGTACTGTTCTCTCTCTGTCGTAAGTAAGACGTAAGCTCTTCCTATCTGTGTTAGATAATCAGGTTTATAATTTATTCTTTTTTATAATTGTCCCAGACAGCGATGTGATAATATCTCTTGGCGACTTCTGTCTCAAGCACAGGAAAGCAGCGACAAGGCATGATATAATTAAAATGCATAACAATACTACTAAAGATGCTGCGAAACCTGGTGTAGACATGCAAATAACATCGTCCTTTTCGTAACTTTCGAAGTCAGAACTTTCTTGGTATGCAGGAGGTTCTGAGAAAGCTAAGTCTCCTGTGGCCACTACACGTATTACCCTATTAAGACCAATTTCTGTCATCTCCTGGAATGAATCATTAGAAGGAGAATCAGTCCAGAGTTGCTTTTGAGAAACATCTCTTTCTTCCCGAGGTCTCACTACAGGAATGTGAGAAGATCCAGATGGATAGATTTCGTGATTAGGTGCTACCTGATGACCAGTTCCAGGTGAGGCTACAGCGCACTGTTCAGGGCAATGTGGGCGACAGATTTGTATAGTACATTGGAAATGAACATCCATTGAGTCAGGAAATTTGAAAGCTTGAAAATGGGCGAAAGCGAGTACTGATGCACTAGAACCAAAATTTTTTACTTTTGTGAATCTGCTCATCAGCTTTGGTCTCACTATACAGCCTTGGCTGTCGACTAACTCAATCGGGGCACGTTTCCCATCATGGGCAATGCAATTTCTGACCATCATATCAAACTTATTTTCTTCGTCTTTGATAGCCAATACCATGGTCATTGTTTGACCGATTTTTACAATGCCGCTTACTTCACTTGCCCAAGGTCCTTTGCCAACTTGGATCTGCATCCAGCAACCAACATTGTCTCCCGCAAAATCAGCTCGTACGACGTTCAACATATCTACAGGAAATGGTCGAAATGTTACTGCCTTTTCATACTGATCATGCCAAGTGCATCGTAATCTCCTGGCTTGATCCCAGACTTCTTGAACCTGAGGGTCGTATTGTATAACTATAGTGTTTTCGAAATAACTTCCTGCTGCATTTTTCCCTCCATAACTATTATATTGTCCATTAGGAGCATTTCCATGAGTTCCGCAACTGTTTATGGAAATGTCGAAATAAACGCTTGTGTGACCCGAACCAGGAGGTAAATGAACGCAACTTCCATAATTATAATGACCTTTACTAAATATAATGCCATGGAAAGGCTTATCGAACTCTATAGAGACTTTCATAAGGTTTTTTTCACACTTAACATCTAAATGGATGATTTTTGGCATGTCTGGCATAGGTAAAGGCCAAGGTTCACTATGAGGTAAACTAGAGAATCCTTGAAAGAGACTATTTTGGTTTTCTGCTTTATAATCTTCTTCAGCGTTGTGATACGAATGTATGTCGACTTGATGTCCACCTTCTTGGTAAGATACGCCATTATGACCAGAATGATATTCTTGAATATCAGCATGGAATTGTCCTGCTTCATGGTCTTGATGTCTGCCAGGTTGATATGGGTTAGGGCCTTGAAGATCTTCAAGATGATTTGGTGCAACTTCATAAGACTGGTGAAGTATTTGATTAGATGTTTTATACACATGTTGGCTTGGTAAATCTTTGTTTCGTTGCTGAATCTGGAGCAATCCTGGATTCCTCTTGATGCCTGGTGGGGGTAATAAAAGATGATTTTTCGGTGGGTTCGCTGGAACTGGAATGCCAACTGATTCTTGAGCTATACCATTCTTCTTTTGAGCATGGGATTTGTACGTTTGATGTGTATCACCACGATCTTGAATTACTTGCGTTTCATCAGCGTCATCAGAAACAGGGGGTGGATCTTCTGGATGTTCAAGGTTGGCATTTTCCTGTACTTCTTCCGCAGCCAGTGAAAGCTGAAAAATAAAACTAAGTTAATTATAAATATATTCAAATTTAATAGCAATGTAAAGTACTTCGAATAATTTTTTAACATTCGTGAAAAATTCATTTATTATCTTTTACCTAACGTTTTTAGAATTATCTCAGTTTTTAAAGCTTACTTTAATTTTTATAATTACTGCCACTTTTTAAATTCATCTATGCTTTTCTTTATGGAAATGTGGAATCGTACCGCATTTTCTCCCTCATTGACGAGATTTGGAAGTGTTGGCATGAGGTGTTGCTGTTGATTAGAAAAATTGTTCTTTCTGTCTACGGCGTTGCTTTATTCCTGCGATTTTGTGAAGCAAGGGAAAACGACATTGCTCTCACTACTGAAGCTGATCCTGAGTTGCTGTCGTCTCTTCTTGATGTTCACGATAAGTATGTTTTCTTTATTCTTTTCGCCATTAGGTTAAAAGTTAGGATTCATGCATATCATGGACAAGGAGGCGATCGAAAACCGTATCAAATCTGTGTGTGATCACAGAAATCTGGAAGTTACCTGCGATAACTTAGAAAAACTTAAGCAACTTATGCTTTCTGAGTTTCATGCTTATCAAAATTCATTTAATCCAAAAATGCGACTGAAGTTCACTTAGCCCACGTCAATGCTATGGAAAAGGATATACAAATCTTAGAATTATACATTAATGAAATGAAACAAAAAGAAACCCTAAATAATCCAACAGAGGAAACAAATCAATCTGATATTACTGCTAGTCAAAAATCTAGAATCAAAAAGAAAACCACAATAGATAAAGAAGGATACATAACCCCTAGAAAAAAACTCATAAAAGAGAACTCTATCAAATTCCGAAATTGAAGAACCAGCTCAAAAAAATAAATTCGAGGAACTAAACCCTGAAGACAATATGGAAGCAGAGGAAGGTGAATTTATTACACCCAACAAAAAAGCAGGACACATTCCCCCTATAGTCTTAGCAGACTTCACGGGGGATTGGGATAAGATGAAAGAAGATTTTGAAGAGCAATTAAATATCAAAAAAATATCGTGGAAACCTAAGTGGAGGTACACTGACCATAAGAGTTTATGACTCAGACCACTACCGCACAGTTACTGAATACCTAACTAAACTACATTATTCCTTTTCATACTTTTAAACTCAACTGTGAAAAACCTATCAAGGCAATAATTAAAAAAACTTCCAAAAACAGCTAATATGGAACTAATCAAAAACGAAATTGCCCAAGAAGGTATCCCAATTCAAAAAATTCGACAAGTAATTCACACTATTGAAGGAAAGCAAGTTCATCTTCCTGTTTTTATAGCAGAATGTACTAGAAATAAAGAAGGTAAAAGAATATATGATCTAAAGAAACTCAGAGGTCTGGATGTCTTTATCGAGCCTTTTAAAAGCTCGCCCTGGACCCGTGCAGTGCCATAAGTGCCAAAGGTACGGGCACACACGGGACAAATGTCACTATAAACCTCGCTGTTTAAAATGTGCAGAGCCTCATGAAACATTCACTTGTAAACAAACAAAAAATGACAACAAACCCCCTGTCTGTGCCCTCTGTGGGCAAAATCACGTTTCTTCCTTCAAAGGTTGCAGTAAACATCCTTATAATGTTCAGAAGCAAATCGAAGAATTTAAAGCTTTAAAAGAGGAAAAGAAAAAAGAACAATTTAAATTTAACAAAAAAAGATTTTCCTTCACTCCCTGAGAACAAACCAAAAAATGCATGGAATACTTCCAAGGAAAATGAAAACAATAATAAAACAGAAGACACAAACTCAAACCCACTTGGCTTTTTTAACTGGATAAAAATCCAATTCACTCAAGTTAAAGAATTCTTCCAGAAATTTAAAACAGCAAAAACAATATTTGACAAACTAGAGGTCGGTATGGCGGCCTTCGAATATTTCTCAAATCTAAACTATGAATTTTAATCAAACTCATAGTCAAATAAATTTTATCTCAGCTACAAATAGCTTCTTAAAGATTTGTTACTATAATGCAAACGGCATCAGATACCAACAAGTGGAAATTTCAAATTTTCTTACTAGACATAACATTGATGTTATGCTAGTAAATGAAACCCATCTCCGCTCTTGCGACAAATTTAAAATACAAGGCTACCGCATCTACAGAAAAGACAGAAGACATAATAGAGGAGGAGGAAACGCAATTCTCATTAAAAACCATATCAAAACAGCCAAATATGATTTAAAACCCTGCTTGTACTATAGAAAATGCTGCAGTACTTATCTATAGTGGTTTTAGAGAACCTTTTCTTTTTATCTCCGTCTACAATCCCCCCTCAAGCACTCTTGATCTCAATAATCTGAAACTACTTACTGAAAATAACTACCCCACCTTAATAGCAGGTGATTTAAATGCTAAACATTCCTCTTGGAACTGTAGAGTCACAAATAGAAATGGAGAAAATTTAAACAACTTCATCCACAATAGTAACATCAATCTCATTGCTCCCAATCACCCAACGCACAACGGACTCGGAGATATTTTAGATATAGTTTTGATGAAAAACCTTCCTAATATTCCTAATCTTGATGTTCTCCCAGAACTTTCGTCTGACCATCTCCCTATAGTCTTCAACTTCTATGGATTTTATCCCCCTCTCCCTAAAGCTCATACAAAAGTTAATTGGTATATGGTTACCGAACAGCTAAATTCTGTAAACAGCAGAGCCACACTTCGTTATGACTGCGATATTGAGCTGGAAATCACCAGATTAAACTCCAAAATTCAAAACGCTATCAATAATGCTACCTATACAGTCAAGAATAAAAATCCCTATGGCATCCCAGAAGAAATTAAATCCCTTATACAAGAAAGAAATAGACTTAGAAAAAGATGGCATATTACTCGCAATCCTACTGAAAAACGTCATATTAATTATTTAAACAGAAAAATAAAAGAAGACATCGCCACCCATCGATCAAATTCGTGGGATAATTTCCTAGAAAACATGGATCTTTACCCAAACTCTGTTTGGAAAGTAGCTAAATCACTCAGAAATCTTTCACCCAATCAAATTCACCCCCTGTATCACATGGGCAAAATTTCACCACTTCCGAAGACTCCATTGCTGAAATTCATGCAAAAGAATTAGAAAATACATTTTTAAACAACATGAAAATAATAATTCTGATCACGAAAAAGATATTAATTACTCTGTCAATAGCATCCTCAACAGTCCCAGCATTAATTTTTTACGCCTGCATCTCCAAACGAAGTTCAGCAAAATTATTAAAAAATTAAAGAAGCGCAAAGCTAAAGGATATGACATGATTTCTAATGAAGCGTTGCAAGCTTTACCTAGAAGATGCATAGTCTTAATTACAAATATTTTTAATGCTTGTATTAGACTCAGCTACTTTCCATCGCAGTGGAAACACTCGATCATTGTTACCATCCCGAAACCAGGAAAAGATCCAAAGCTAGCAAAAAATTACAGACCCATCAGTCTTCTGCCAGCGCTTGGAAAAGTTTTCGAACGAGTACTTAGTGCTCGGCTCACCAATCATCTAGAACGCCTTAATCTAATAGACAAGCATCAATTTGGATTCCGCAAAGGCCACAGTACCACACATCAAATATTAAATTTAGTTGAATTTATTGCCCAAGAATTTACAAAAAAGAACGGAGTAGCGGCATGCTTCCTCGATTTCGAAAAAGCTTTCGATCGAGTGTGGCATGCTGGCTTACTTCATAAGCTATCTAACTTCCTTTTACCAAACAGCTTTATCAAGCTTATGCATTCTTATTTTAAACATCGTACTTTTCAAGTGCGCTGTGGTGAAGCAATCTCTTCAAAAAAAGTGATTTACAGTGGAGTAGCTCAAGGCAGTGTTTTAGGACCGAAGCTTTTTACAATATTCATAATGATATATGCCTCTACCTTTTCATTCTAATATACTCAAATATGCCGACGACACAGTCATCCTCACCAGTTCACGAAGTCCAAATAATGCTTTAGAGAAACTTCAGCTCCAAGTCAACATTATTAACAAATTTTGTCAAGACTGGAAAATCAAACTAAATACTGATAAATGCTGCGTAGTTCTCTTCCGCAGATACAGAAAAAATATCCCAGTGAATATAAATATCCGACTCAATAACCAAGATATTCCTGTTGCCAACTCCTATAAATATTTAGGTGTCTATATTGACAAAACCCTAAATTTCAAAGATCATATTCAATATGTTACAAATAAGGCTAACGCTGCTTTCATTGCTCTCTACTCATTAATTGGAAGAAACTCTAAGTTAAACCTCCGTACCAAGAAAAATATCTACATCTCACTTATTCGCCCAATAATCCTCTATGCAGTTCCAGCCTGGGCTACTGCCCGAAAAATAGACAGAAAAAAAATTAAATGTTCTTCAAAACAAATTCTTACGTTGCATAGTGAACGCACCCTGGTTCGTGCGAAATTCTCAAATTCACAAAGACCTGGATATCAACCAATTCACGACCAAATCCTAATTTCTGCACACAACTTCTTTGAAGATATGAGAAAATTCTCCCTATGAAGCTATTAAATCGCTTACAGACTATGACCCTACTATTGAGAACGTAGTGAAAAGACCTCGAACGATCCACCACAATTCTAAGTGGTGGTAGTGTATATAATGTTAAAAAAAAAAAAAAAAAAATTACTATTCCTTGCAGTTACTATTCAAGAAAGATGAACTTTGCAAAATTAGGACTTTATTTTTCATCGATGACTTCTTCGTTTTACTACTTATTTAACCAAGATTTTACTTTTACTTTTTATTTTTACTATTTCGTATCGTGTGTTTTAAAATCAAAGTTCGTGGTAACACCAAGTGCTTACTCTCACTCATTAGCCCTAGTGAGCTACATGACCTCATTTTCGCCTTTTACAGTTTCCTATTCATTTAATGATTATATCGCAAGTTTAGAAGATTTTCAAGTGTTTCAAAAGACATAGGACTCTTAAATTCACAAATAGATGTTG